GCGTGTGCTTTTCTGGATAAGTACCTACTAAAATAAAATTGCTAGGGCAAAAGTTATGTGCATCTTTAATCTTGACAAATACAGGCTTAAAAGGTGGTGACAACTTACAGTCCTACCAACACTGAGTGCGAGTGTGGAATCCCCTACAGTTAATTATTGATTTATTAACCATTCACTAATGTCTTTCCAGTCCTATAGGAGATGAATGATTTTTCATTGTTGTGTGAGTTGGTATCATCCTAATTTCTGTGGAGCTGTGCTCATTTTTCATGTTTATTGGTCATTTGGCATTTTTTTCTGTAAACAGGCCAGATAAATTATTTGACCATTCTTTTCTACTGGACTATTTCCCTTTTAAAAAATATTTATCATTGCATTGTATAATTTCTTTTTACCATTTAAAGAAGTTTTCTCTTCAATTTTTTTTTAATTACCTTGGTCTTGGTGCTTTTATCATACAAAAGGGGTTGGCTTTAATATAGTATGGTTGTAATATAGTTGTTTGTCTTTCCTTTGCAGATCTAGTTTTATATCTTGCTCTTCCCAAGTTTAGGATTATAAAAATAGTATCCTACATTTCCTTTTAGTGCTTTTATCATTTTATAGTCTATGATTTTCTCTGTAATCCATTTGAAAATGATTGTCTCTTATGATGAAAGACAGGAATTTAACTTTTATTTCAAATAGATAAGTTATGGTCACCAATCTGCTTAATTCCATTTATCGACTAGACTGACCTTTTTCCATTGAGAATGCTCCCATTATCACAAACTATCAATATATATGTGTGGGGGGATCCCTGGGTGGCTCAGTGGCTTAGCGCCTGCCTTGGGCCCAGGGCATGATCCTGGAGTCCCGGGATCGAGTCCCACATCAGGCTCCCTGCATGGAGCCTGCTTCTTCCTCTGCCTGTGTCTCTGCCTCTCTCTCCGTGTCTCTCATGAATAAATAAATAAAATCTTAAAATATATATATATATGTGTGTGTATATATATATGCATGGGTCCAATTGTGCACCTCGATTCCATTGTTCTCTTTCAGTCATTTGAATATCATCTTCACCATTTCTGTTATATATATGTCCCATTTATTTACTTAATATTTTAGCATAATACATTTTAAGATTACCTACTTCTGCCTCATTCTAAGCACATAAAATCATAGGGTTAAATTTGTTCCTAGTAAACATTAAGTGCATAACTTTTGATTGGATAAATGTTTATTTATGTACCATTTTAAGTCACCTTGAAAATTACAGGAGGCACTTTGGAGAAGCTCTTTTTTTTTTTTAAGATTTTATTTATTTATTCATGAGAGACACAGAGATCCCAAAGTAGGGCTAGATCCCAGGACCCCGGGATCACGACCTGAGCTGAAGGCAGATGCTCAACCACTGAGCCACCAGGCATGCAGGGAAACTCTATTATATTTTTCCCACAGATGGATTTGTCCATCTCTGGAACAACCTCATTGTAGCTTCATGTTTTGTTCTTGTTGTTAAATGTCTCATTCTGAAATAATTTTGGACTCACAAGAAGTTGTAAAAATAGTAGAGAGAGGTCCTGACAGAGAAGCCCTGTGTATCCATGACCTGCCTTGTCCCAAAAGTGACATTTTACATATCCATAAAACATTATCAAAAGCAAGAAATTGACATCAATATGATGTAATTGACTAGACCACAGATCTTTGGATTTCACCCGTCTGTACACGCACTCATCTTTTAGCCTTTATATATAGTTCTGTGACGCTTTACCTTTATAGATCGGCATATCCACCGCCACGAATCAAGAGCTGGTCTGTCACCATCAAGGACCTTCCTCATGCTACTCCTTGATGGTTGTACCTCCCTTACCTCACCTGCCTCTGTTCTCTTCCTCTATGGCTCCGACCTCGCGGTAGCGTCGTGCACATGGGCTCATGCAGTATGTGATCTTGGGAACCAACTCTGGTTTTCTTCACTCAGTAGAATTTCCTGGAGATTCGTCCAGTTTGTTATGTCTGTCAGGAGTCATTCCTTTTATTGCTGAGTAATATCCCATGTGTTGCCGGACCCAGTTTGCTTAACCGCTCGCCTCCTAGAGGACACTTGGCCTGTTTCCACGGGGGCCTGTTATAAATACAGCAGCAGCTACGAACATTCACGCACAGGTTTGGGTGTGAACCCAAGATTTGCTCCTCTAGGACAAATGCCCGGGAGTATGGGCACCGAGGGCCATGCTAAGTGTAGGCTTCAGTCTTTCAGGAACTGCCAGGTCATTTTCTGGAGCGGCCGCACCTCCGCATTCCCACCGGCGGTGGATGAGGCCTCGTTTCTCGCATCCTCATCAGCCTTTGACACTCACAGTATTTTTTTGTTTTTAGCTGTGCTAATAGGTGTCCCTCCTGGTTTAGATTTGCCTTTCCCTAATGGCTAGCGATGTTGGATATCTTTTCCTGTGCTTACTTTTATGGCGTGTCTTGCTATCTGGTCGGCAGGCTGCCTTCCTGACCCCTGGGGAGAGCTGCGCTCGCCTGCTCCCTGAGTCTTAGCTCTTCTACAGGAGGAGAGGGCAGGGGCCACGTATGACGTGACCTCAGCGGTCAGGAACCCCGGCTCGGAGCTTGGTGGGTTCGAGGAGGCCCCCTGAGAGAGTGAAGCCGAGCGGAGCAGTGGGCACCACCAGGACGCCCACACCTCCCTCCACTCTGCGCCTCCGACACACTTTTCACAAAGCAATGCCTCGGAGCCGTGGGTGTCGTGCGAAGTCCTGAGACTGTGTCACGATTGGAAATAATAGGGCCTGAGGAGAGGACACCCAGTCAGTGGGGTCGCAAACACTCCCCCACCTCTCCGGCACGTAGGAAGTGTCAGACAGGGAAGGCCTGGGTCGCCCCTAAGGCCTGTGGTCCCACCTGCACTTCAGGAGCAGGCCCGCCGGTCTCAAGCTCTGCCCTGTGTGGGGGGACCAGCTCTGAGCACCGCTGCGTCCCTGACCCAGACCCACCTTCTCCCCAGGGTCCACCCAGCACGAAGGTGCCGGAAGGAGCTGCGAGACCCCGGAGGAGCAGAGGTTAGCCGGCTCTGGTAGGAGCCGGGCAGAACCAAGCTCATCAATCACGTGGAGGAGGCTTTGGAGGGAGAGGCGTCAGGCTCACCCTCTAGAGCAGGAATTCTAATTTAAAAATTTTTTTTTACTTTTTGCATTTTTTAATTTAAATTCAATTTGCCAACGTCTAGCACAAGACCCCGAGCTCACCCCGTCAAGTGCCCTCCTCAGTGCCTGTCACCCTAGAGCAGGGATTCCAAAGTAGAGTCTCCAGCGGTGAGGCTCCCCGGAGCCCCCGGATGGACAGCCCTTCCCAGAGGCAGGTCCTGCTGTGTCTTCCAGGGCCCTGACGGACCTGTCCAGAAGATTCCATTTCTTTACCCGTGCCCAGAGTTTCTCTTCATCATAGCCTAAGCACTGAATCATTAAGTATTACTACAAGAGGGTTTCAATAAAGTAAAGCGAGGGTGTTTACACGGATGATGGAGCACGGTCAGTGTGACCTCGGGTAAGTTACTTAACATGCCTTCCTCTGTTTCCCTACCTGCAGAATGGGCTTCATAATCGTTCCGGCTTCACTGAGACTTTGAGAGGGTTCAAGCACATAAAACAGTGCCTGGCCCGGGGCAAACACGTCTAAAACATAGCAGCCTCGCCTTGCATTTCTGGCCACACTGCCAGCTCCAATTGTGCACGCGTCCCGGGGAGGGTTCGAACCCCTGCGACTTGCTCTGTTACCTGTGCGTGCCCAGCACCACCTGTGTTGATCAGGGTTGCCTTGAGCAGGCGGGTTTTCCAGAGACACTAGTCTTTCTCTGTAATGTCAGTTCAGCTGCATTCAGCAATGTCGTAAGCTGGGAATGGTTTAGTAAATTCTACAGAATGTGATGCTGCACATTTCCACCTCCCAATTTTTGACACAGACTTTCCTAATAACTGGATTTCTAGCTATCAGAGTGTGTGTTTGAATCTCACTTTTGCCAAACGTTTTATTGTTACTTCTCAGTTTTTTTTGAGTGGGAATATCTGGTGAGTGTAGGCTGCAAGATTTTAAGCTCTCTTAAGTAGCCTTCAAAATATTGGTTATGCATGGATGGCAGTGGTTTAGGACCCAAGAGGGTGGTCCTATTGTTCAGAACTAAATACGTGGGAAGTGGCAGTCTCCCCCCTAGGAGGCACCCCAGCACGTGGGGTCCGTGGCAGTGGTCTTTGGGCTCTTTCCGGGGAATCCCAGCTCCCCAGGCTGCAATCCACCCCTAACGGGCCGGCCTCTTCACGGACCCCAGGAGGGTCTGTGGACTGAGTGCTCACCCCTGTGTGCACACCCATACACAGGGCTCAGGACCTGGCTCTGGGCACCTCCAGTAAGCCTCATCAGACCAATTCTAACCCATCCTATCCTTTACACTTGAGGATTTGGTATATCTCTTTCTGTTTGTCCTTTCACTCTGCTGAGGGAACAGAATCCTGGCCGGGTCAGAGTGAATCCTTTCTTCCCAGGCTCTGGTAGTGGACTTGAAATTTGTAACGAGGCCCATTCACATACAGAGGCCCAATAGGTACAACCTACTGCATTGGATGATTAAGGAAGCTAGGCCCAGAGACGGTACGCAACTTGTCAGAGGTCACAGAGCCAGCCGCAGGCCCAAAGAGCTCCAGTTAGATCACACTGGCTCTTGTGAAGATGATTGTTGGTGGTTTGGCTACTTATTTTATTTTTTTTTATAAGCATACAGATTTTTTTAAATTTTTTTTATTTATTTATATTAGTCACACAGAGAGAGAGAGAGAGAGAGAGAGAGAGAGAGAGGCAGGCTCCATGCACCGGGAGCCCAACGTGGGATTCAACCCTGGGTCTCCAGGATCATGCCCTGGGCCAAAGGCAGGCGCTAAACCGCTGCGCCACCCGGGGATCCCTGGTCTGGCTACTTAACTAGTGAACTAAACAGCCTCTTTTCATGGCCCCTGCAGATGCCAAAGGGACCATCCGGGAAATTGTCCTGCCTAAGGGCTTGGACCTGGACAGACCCAAGCGGACCCGCACGTCCTTCACAGCTGAGCAGCTATACCGCCTGGAAATGGAGTTCCAGCGCTGCCAGTACGTGGTGGGCCGTGAGCGCACTGAGCTGGCCCGCCAGCTGAACCTCTCCGAGACCCAGGTAAGAGGGCAGGGCTAGGCCCCTCCACCCTTGCCCTGCAGCCCGGGAACTTTGTGGGGTACGAGGCCTGTGGGCTGCTACAGGCAGACCCAGCTTTGGAGTTCACACGTGCATCAGGGAAAAGCTTAGAGTTATAGGTAAATCAGAGCAGTAAATATAGCGCGGACAAGAGAGAGCTGGCGTATGCCAACAGAGGGCCTTCTGAATGCATCAGGCCCTTTGGGTGGAATATGGGGAAAGGCCAGAGAAATAGGAAGGAGGGGCATCCAGGATGCAGGCAGTGACTCGGGGGGGGGGGTGTTGGCACATGAGGGACCCTGCAGGAGAGGGTGGTGAAGTGTTGGCTCCAGTAGGGAGCAGAGATTCCAGAGAAGAGAAGAAACATTCCAAAATTGGGTTGGGTATTTCTCATTTCCCCATTCTGGGCGTCTCCCCATCCTCCATACGTACCCTTTATCCCACTGTACCTCAGAAGTTCTTGCTGGAGAGAAGGGGTCCGAATACCTCCTCCACCCAGGAAGGGCTTAGGATTTTAACGTAATAAGCTTAGCCCAAAGGAAAAACTTTTGTGAAGTGAGCACCCACTCTGTGTGAATGGAGGTGTTTGAGTCTGGTACCAGAGATACAAGAAAACAATAATGATAGTAATGCTGCTGGGTGCCCACTGTGCCCCGGAGCAGCTCCAAGTGCCCTGCATACGGGATTTCACCGAGGCCTCCCCACAACCCCACAACCCGACAGCCCGACAGCCCGACAGCCCGACGGTGCAGTTACCAGAGCTAGGATTTGGGCAGGCAGTCTGGCATCTTTATGCTATCTCTAAAGTGGCGGCCATCCTAGAGCTTGTAAAGAATGATCCTGAGACCCTTACTGAGCAACAGCTCTAGAAAATCCCTTCTCCTTTCCTAGGCCGGGGGCTGGCAGAGACTATAAGGCACAGCTAACGGTTACTGAGACCTTCCTCTGTCCCAGGCTCTGGTACTCGACGTGTCCCAACTCATTTAGTCCTCGCTGTGACGGTGTGGGGAGAGCGTGAGGTTTCTCTTCAGACAACACTCCTGACACCAGCTGTGTGGGGTGTTTTCCAACACCAAGAGCAACCAGACCGCCCATTCCCTAGCCCCAAGCGAGTGTCCAGCTACTCGATTCAATTCTGCCCCGGACTCCTGGGGTGAGCACAGATGATGCAGGCTAAGGCTCAGTCTCACCAGGCATCTACATCAGATGCCACGTGCAAGGCCCCGGGGCCACCGGTACCTCTCTGACAGAGGAACTATAAAGTTGGGGGTTCCCACCTCTCCCTCCTCAGGTTTGGCAATTTGTTGGAATGGCTTGCAGAGCTCAGGAAAGCACTTTACTTTCATTTACGGGCTTATGGTAAAGGATACAATTCAGAAATAGCCACATTTGGTGGAAGGGGGAGATAGAGCCAAATGGAAGAGATGCATAGAGCAAGATGTTGGGGTGAGGTGTTCAGGGAGCTTCTATACCATTTCTGGGTGCCACCCACCAGCACCGCCACATGATCCCCAACCCAGAAGCTCTCTGAATCTTACTGTTCAAGAGTTTTTGTAACCCAGCCTCTCCCCACTCTCCAGAGGGCAAGTGTGGGGGGCCCAACCCCCTAATCACAGGTGCAGTCTCTGGGACCACTGCTGCACCCTGAACCCAGGCAGAGCCCACCCTGAGTCACCTTGTTAGCATGAACTCAGGTGCGGTTTGTTTATTTTTAAAAAAATAATTTACTTATTTATTCATGAGAGACACAGAGAGAGGCAGAGACGCGGGCAGAGGGAGAAGCAGGCTCCTTGCAGGGAGCCCGATGTGGGACTCGATCCCGGGTTTCCAGGATCAGGCCCTGGGCTGAAGGCGGCGCTAAACCGCTGAGCCACCCGGGCTGCCCTCACCTGGTCTTTATAAAAAGATGGCTTTATGGGTAATATTATCTCCATTTCGGGGAACTGAGAGAGGCAAGTAACTTGTCCTAGGTTCTAGAGCTAAGATTCTGTGGAATCTTCCTTATATACACCCATAGCTTTGTTAAAAATATTGCTGAATACCTCCTGTGTACCAGGCCCTGTTCTAGGCACCGGAGACGTAGCAGAGAACAACGCAGACCAGGCACCGTGCAGCGTACGCCCTGAGTGAGAAAGATGGCATTTACAGGAGTTAGTGGGTGCTAGGAAGCAGATAAAACCTGGTATGCTGGGGCCTGGAAATCTTTCCCTGGGGTGGTCAGGGGAGGCCTCTTTGAGGAGGTGAATGACAGTGGCCGGGGTGTGAATGACAGGGAAGAGGCAGAGGAAGAGCTAGGAGAGGAGGAGTCAAGACTCAGGGTAACTGTGAAGTCCTGGAAGTGAGAACTAGCCCAGAATGTTCTGAAGTGTCCGAAGGCCAGTGTGGCTGGAGTCGGAGTGTAATAGGGAAGGCAGGTGGGACACAGCAGGTGGTGTTTAGAGACCATGGTGAGGTGTTGAGGGGAGAGTGACACGAGGGGACTGGCATTACAGAGGCCACTCTGTCACCTGGAGAAGGGGGACGAGAGGCCGAGGTGGGGCTCTGAGCGCCGGTGGAGGAGTGAACTGGTCTAATCCAAATCTCTAATTTGGAGGTGGCATCTGTTAGGACTTGCTCATCAGGAATTATGTGAACGGGGCAAAGGAAAAAGAAGTGGTTTGGGGGGGTACGGGCGAATGATGGGAACTGGCCAACGAGCCCATGGAACGGGTTGAGAAAGCTGGGGAGGAGCAGGACACTGGAGAGCAATCTAGCGTTTTGTTTGGGATCGGTTCAGTTTGAGATCCAGGTGGAGACGTCGGGAAGACATGTCAGATTTTTCTCAGGGGGCTGCTGTTTCTCTGATTTACCTGCAGCTCTTTTAGGGGAAACGATAAGAGACTCCTTCACCTCTGCTCAAATAACAGATGGACCCCCGAGGGATGAACCAGGAGGCACAATCTTGTGTCAGCCCAGGAACAGGAAGCATGCTGTAGCCACGCCTGGTAGGGAACGGAAGCTGAGGTTCATTTGGGGCCTGGGGGCTTCAACGCCTCGTGCCGCCTCCCCCCCCACCCCGGGGTTCCCCGGAGTCCGCCCGCACCTGCTCTCAAGGGGTTGCCGCTGTCCACGGCTCCTCCTCCTGCCAACCAGCATCTTTACCCCCTTCCTGGGTAGCAGGAGGGCCCTAATTTAGGTGGAGAAAATGTGGGCTGACTCAGGACCCCCTTCTCGTTCCCTCTCTCTGTCTTAGCTTCTATGTGCCCGGTTACATCGTGGGCACCCCTGGTGAGAATCCCCCTTGCGGGACCTGGGGTGACCGTGAAGCCTTCCCTCCCCACTGCCTGCAGCGCTCTCAGAGGAGGCCCGTGAGCCCCTGGCCCACCCGGAGCGCACGTGCCCTTCTCCACGTCGGAGAACTGGGATGGGCCCCTTGGTACAGTTGTCCCGGTGTTTAGGAACTCCCGACACACTTGGTCGCCTTGCCTTGTTTCAAGGAGAGTGTGGTGCTCGGTTAAGCCAGGGCTTCTCAAAGTGTGGTCCGCAGACCACCTTACGAGGAACCCCTGAGATTCTCATTAAAATACAGATTCCTGGCTCAGGTCCCGCGTGCAGCCCACAGGTTCCGAGTCAGAATTTCTGGGGAGGACCTGACGACCTCTCTGTTTTTCAGCTGATGTGGGACCACATTGCTTGACAGACTTCAGTGTCCGCCAGACGCTTTACTAAATCCGCTATTACTAGCTCATTGAGTTGTCATGCAAACCTATGAGGAAGCATTGGTACAATCCCGTTTTACAGATAAGGAAACTGAGGCACAGAAAGGTCAAGTAACTTGCCCCATGCCATTCTAAGGAATTAAGGAGAGAACCAGAACTGAATCCTGTCTGACCTCAGGATCTGCTTCACTGTCTTGCTTGCTACTCCCGCCGAAGCAGTTACCGTCTTGTAACACCCGCGGGCCTGTCCACTTCCCCCCGCTGGGGTCTGAGAGCTCAGTGGGTGCCGATAGAGTCCTGCGGATTCCTGTGTTCTCAGCACCTGACAATGCTGACGTGGATTGTTGTATGAATGAATGATAGAGTCAGAGCAGGAAACGAGAAAAGAGGACATGGCTATGGAGGGAGACAAGGTGGGAGGCTGCCCCAGAACCCCCGGTGCTCGGCTGCCTGTATTTTTGGGATTCTTTGACACTTGGTGGTACTGCATTCTTGCCAGGCATACCTCCTGTTTGAGTAGGAAGGAGCCTTGTAAGATCCTTCACAGGCAGTGCATGTGAAGCATGCTTTGCTGCTATGAAAAAGAACATCAGAAAGTATATATCATGTTATTTTATATTTTTGCTTTTGGTGTAGAGTGAAGCAATTTCTATCAAAATCTAGCCAGAGCCCTTCACTGCCATGATAGCTGGGGCTTTACCAGTCTGTCTACTGTGATGATTTGTAGACTTCTGGTTGTATTTCTATATTTATTTTTAAATATATTATGTGGGATATTTAGTGGTTTATGTCTCTTTAAGTTTGAATTAGCGTTTCTAAAATGGTGGTTACTTTGAATGTTACAAACGGATCAAGGCATTAAAATGTATGAGATTTATCTTTCCTCAGAAACAAGTACTGATGCTATTGTAAAACAAGTGTGTATAGTGCCTAAAAATTGTAATGAAAATCCTTTTAACCATTTCAATCCAAATGTTTAACAAATCTAATCTCTTATTCTAATAAATATACTATCAAGTTAAAAAAAAAAAAAAAAAAAAGACCCGGGGGACTTTTTCCAGGTCAGGGCCCCAGGCTCTAGGCTAAGGCCAAACTGCCAAGTCCCAATCCTGACGCGCAACATCACTTAGCTTGGATAAGAGCAGCTCCGGCTCTCTGACAACTATCTTCAGCCCCATACCTGGGGCTCTGCCTCCATGACTTCTTCCAGAACAGCAGAATAGCTGGTACCTTCCAGGTCACAAAAACCAGGGCCATCCCAGATCCACAAGTACCGGTCATGGGAATGTGCCCAGTCACGGGAAGTAGCCCCTTAAAGATTAAGGCCATTTCCAAATAGATCATGAGGCTTGGGATTGAGCACCGCCAGGAGCCTCGAGAGGGTGACAGATGATCTCCCAGAAAATACCTCCGGGGCCCTGGCAGGCAGCTGGGAATCACGGCCCTCCCCTGTGTGCAGCGGCTCACAGTGCGGTCCAGCGGAGGATGCGGGTGGGGAGGGTGGAGAGGGTGGGGGGGGTGGAGAGGGTGGGGAGGGGGAAGTGAAGGCACCCAGGGTGTTGGTGGGGGGGAGCGGGAGGGGGAGGAGGCGAGATGCGGCCTGCAGGGAGACCGCAGCAGGGCAGCCAGAAGGCAAGGGGGAGCCCAGCGCCTCAGGAAGTATGCTTCTGCACAGGAACCAGGCCTCCCCGAAGACCCGTACCCAGATATAACCCTGAGAGAGGGGGTCCCCTGCGGCGGAACTGAAGGCTTCCTGGAGGAAGGAGGGACGAGCCCAGAGGCTCTGAACCTGCCTCTCACTCAGTTTGGCCCTTGTTTGCTGAGCCTTACGAGTCAGCCCTTTGGGGACCATGGGACTGCTGGTAGGAAGTAGTCAGGCGGGGCGCCTCTCCCCCACCTTTGCAGCTCCAGCTCCTTCTACCTCAGTTCACAGGCTAGATTCACACACAGAAAAAAAATTTTTTTAAGATTTTATTTATTTATTCATGAGAGACACAGAGAGGCAGAGGGAGAAGCAGGCTCCATGCAGGGAGCCCGATGCGGGACTCGATCCCAGGACCCCAGGATCACACGCCCTGGGCTGGAGGCAGATGCTCAACCACTGAGCCACCCAGGCGTCCCACACACAGAAATTTTTCTGAAAATATGGATGCGTGAGCCCCACCGGGTGTGGGCATCAGGATTTAGAAGAAAATGACTCCGGGGAATCTCAAAGTGCAGCCCAGACTGACAACCGCCGACGTGGCCCATAAGGGCCCAAGAAATGGACATGCCAGCCCCCAGCCCCGGCCTCCTCTCCTCCCCTCCCCTCCCCAGGGACTCCCCAACCCGGGGAGCCCACGCCTCTCTCTTCCTGCTGCCCCAGAGCTGCAGGACAGGACGCCCGTAAAACCTTGGTCATTCCTTAGGGCTCACCCCCCTTGTTAGTGCCACCCCCTTTGTTGCTGGGAGTGGGTCGGTGCCACCCTCCCCCTAGACCCTCAGCTTCTCCAGGACAGGAATCCTGACTTCTGAGTCTGTCCTCTCCCGCTGGTTCGGTGCTAGGATAGGCCAGGCACCATGTGAAGTCCTCTGCGTGGACGTCTGTATCTGATCCCTGCAACAGCCCACGTATTTTTGTCCCGGTTTCTGAGATGAGAAGCTGAGGCTGGGACAGTCTTGGGGTGGTATCTAGGTCCTAAAAGGGTGCCTGCTTAGCAAGGCAGAAGCCAGGAGGCTTCCCAGCAGGGGAGAGGAAGGCAGAGACCCACAGAGCCGCTTCCCCAGGTGTCTGACTGGATCCTTTCCTGGAGCAATCGAGATCCCAGGAGTGACAAACTAACATTTTCTTCTTTCCAGTCGCTTCCTTCAGCCACATTTGGTCGAATGTCCCTTGGCCTTCCCTGACTGATATCCCCTTCATATGTCAACTCTTGGGCGCCCGTGAGGCTCGGTTAAGCATCTGCCTTCAGCTCGGGTCATGATCTTGGGATCCGGGGGTCGAGCCCCCCATCGGGCTCTTTGCTCCGTGGGGAGCCTGCTTCTCCCTCTCTCTACCTGCCACTCCCCCTACATGTGCTCTTTCTGTCAAAGAAGTAAATAAAATCTTAAAAAAATAAAAAATAAATGTCACCTCTTCAGAGAGGCTGTGTTTGCCACCCAGTAGTAAGCCAGCCCTTCCCCCTTAATCCTTCAGCCTTTTCCCAAAGCAGCGCCTCTCAAAGTGCGGCTCTGGGGCGGGTGTCCCCCTCAAACTGTTACCTGCCCAGGAAGGTTAGGTGCAGAAACGGAGAGTAAGTGCAATTCATTTTAATTGTATTTGACAAAATCATTGGTTCACAACACACTGGAAACTATAAAGTGGTTCCTTAGCATGAATAATTCGAGAGACCCTGCTCCAGGCACTGAGCGCCCCGACAGTCGCTGCCGTTCTCTCTGCCGTTCTTCATCCGTGTCCCCTCCACACGGAGGGTTTGCTCTGCTCTCATCACTGCCGATGCCCTGAGTCCGGGGCGGCGCCTGGCAGGTAGAGGGCACCCAGTGCACCTCTGCAGGATGAATGATTGAGGGAATGAATGATGCGTCCAATCACAAGTGGATCCCGCAACCTTCCAGTTAATTTCCATCATTGAAACTCAGTCCAAACCCATTTATTTACTTATTTTTTATTTTTTAAAGATTTTATTTATCTATTCATGAGAGACACGGAGAGAGAGAGGCAGAGACACAGGCAGAGGGAGAAGCAGGCTCCATGCAGGGAGCCCGACGCGGGACTCGATCCCGGGACCCCGGGGTCATGCCCTGGGCCGAAGGCAGAGGCTCCACTGCTGAGCCCCCCGGGCCTCCCAAGTCCAGTCCCATTCAAAACACCAAACCCACACCTGTTTCAGATCTCGTCCTCCCCTTCCCCACTCGGAACAGGTTGACTCACTGTTGGCGCCCGGGGCGTGGTGGCTCCTAGGAGGTGGTGTCGTGAGGCCTTGCCCCAGGAGGCTTCTCCCGGCCTTCATCCGCACCCAGGCAGCCCTCCCACTCTGGCCTCCGCCTCCTCCCGGCCTCTGGGCTCCTTCACCGGAGCCATAGGAGTTGCCGGCCCCCCTTATGCTCTCCCAAAGCTGGAGGCCACTAGCAAGGCCTCCCCACCCTTTCCTGGGCAAGCCCTCCACCCTGTGCCCCCATTTGTCCTGCTGGCACACCCTGCCCCAGCCAGCTGCCAGCCTCCTCGAACCTCCCGGACGAGTCTGTGCTCCCAGGACACCAGTGTGGGTGCAGGGGGGGGATTGGGGGGGGTGGGCCTACAGATGCTGTGCAAGTGCTCCAGCTGGGCCACGAGCGTCAGACTCTCTCTCCGCCCGCACCTCTAGGGCCTATGTAAGATTCTTCTGGAGCCTGCTCCTTGCCTTCCGTGAGGGGTTGCCCTCGCCTTCTCCCAGGGGGAGGGGATCCCAGCACCATGGGGGCTGACCACTGAGCTTCCCTCCCAGCCTATGGTTTCTTCCATACACGAGGAGGACAGGCCTTGGAGCCCCGGGTGCTGGGCAGTGGGGGCGGCTGGATCGGCCTCCTCTCATAGACCTTGACAAAGGGCCCCCCTACCCTGTTGTTGGTGGAGGACTTGGCACCTGGTTGTCCCCAAGCTTGCGTCTCTAGGTTTGGCCTTTGCCAGTGGCCTTCAACCTCCTGCCACACTGGGTGTCCTGTTGAGGAGCCTGGCCTCTGCAGCTGAAGGGCTCACGCAGATTGGGACGGAGAGCTCACCTGGGAGGGGGTGTGGGGGTCCCAGGACAGCCGAGGTGGGCCGGTCCCCAGGCCGGCAGCCCACCCCCGCCCACTTTGGGCCTCCCTACCAGTGAGCGCTCTGCAAGGCTGAGGGACGTCGCCACCAGGAGTCTGTGCCCACCTTCTAGATCACACCCTGCGGCCAGGATCTGGGGCCAGGGTCCCTTACTGGCTGGCGCAGAGCGGCCGAGCAGGGAAGACCTAACGACACTCTGAATGCTCTTCTTCCCCCTTTCACTCCACCCTTGCTGCCCTGCTCCCCCCTCCCTGGCCCTCCACGACCTCCTCTCCTTTGTTCCTCCCACCTGCCACACTTTGCCTGTCTCCTGTCCCTTCCTGACACCCCTCCCCACCCTCCGCCCCAAGGTCAAGGTCTGGTTCCAGAATCGCCGCACCAAGCAGAAGAAAGACCAGAGCAGGGACCTGGAGAAGCGGACGTCCTCCTCGGCCTCCGAGGCCTTTGCCACCTCCAACATCCTGCGGCTGCTGGAGCAGGGCCGGCTGCTGTCCGTGCCCAGGGCGCCCGGCCTCGTGGCGCTGAGCCCTGGCCCTCTGGGCCTGCCTGCCGGCCACCAGGGCACCTCGCCGGGAGACCCCAGGAAGTCCTCCCCGTGCCTCAACCCCCTGACCTCGGCCTCCGCGTCCCCGCCGCTGCCACCGCCTCCGCCAGCCCTCTGCTTCTCCTCTGCCCCCCTCCTGGACCTCCCTGCCTGCTGTGAACTCGGTTCCTCGGCCTTCGAGCCCTACAGCCGGCTAGAACGGAGAGTGGGCAGCCCTGGTGGTGGCAAAAAAGCCAACGTTTAGGCCTCCACCGCCCCCCGTGGCCCCGAGTCCCCGAGCACGGCACTGCCCCTGACTCCCCTGCCCCATGGACTGCCCTGAGCAGGCACCAGACGGGGGCAGCCACACACCTGGCCCTGCCCCCCCAGACTGTGGACCAGGAGGCCTGGGTCCCGCGGCTCGTGTGTGTGACTGCAGTGTGCGTGCGTGTGCCTCTCACTGAAATAAAGGAAAACAATGACAAGAAGGGAAACAGAGTCCCCGCAGCACCACCCCTGCCCCTCAGTCCCCCCTCTCCTTCTCCTCACTGGGGAGGAAAATGGGCTGAGCCAGGGGAGCTCGAGGGGAGGGGCAGAGCCAAAGCCCTGTTCACGGTTCGGGGGCGGGGGTACCCCGTGTGGCTGACGGGCACCCCTCTCCGGCTCCCAACTAGAGCCCCCCCTCGGGCACCGCAAAGCCGTGGTGGCATCGCCAACGCTTTTGTTGGTTAAACATTGCTCTGTGCCAGCAAGCTCCTCTTTGAAACGAGGACCCTTGAGAGGTAGGAATGGGAAATCCTTGGAGGGGGGACAGCGAAGGTGAGAGCCAGAGCCGCGGTCGGTGCAGAGCTCCCCGAGCCTGGGCGAGCAGGCCGTCACCCTCGCCAGGCCCCGAAGCACTTCTCAAAGGTGTTCTGTTGTTGTTGTTGTTGTTGTTCAAGTAAGACACTTGCATTTAACTGTTTGCGAGGACTGTGGATCCAGGAGGTTGCAAAGATGCCTCAGAGAATTCCTCCTACCCTCCACGCAGTTCCCCCAGGGGCTGCTTTCTCCATAACCCAGGTTGACGGCAGGACTGGTGCTGCGTGCGTAGCTCCCCGTGAGGTGTGTGGGGCCCCGCACTGCAGCCGGGGTGCGGCACTGCCATGAGCGCAGGGCCCCCGCCTTCCCAAACCCCCCACCCACGAGCCGTCTTCCAAAGAATGGGAATCATGAGAGAGGGACAAGGGACCAGAAATGGGTTCTCAGGCCAGAGGATGGAGGTGAGAGTTCAACCCGGGGGGGCGGGTGTACAAAGACGAGCAGGGTCTGTTCCAGGCTGCTCTGGGACACACATCCTTGGTTTCAGATCGGCTGTCCTGGGTCACCCAGCCGACCAGGCCCTGGCGACCGTGCTTCCTCCCTTCCCTCTGCGCGGGCGTACGGTTTGGGCAGGTGCTTCGACGTCCCTGGACGCCCTGAGTCTGGAACGAAACAGGGGGGTGCCCGGGGCAGGCCTTGGGCTCAGGGGGCCGAGCTACCACCTAGTGTCCACCTTGCCTGTCCAGCCGCCCGTGCCACGGACTGCGTCAGCCACTTGACACCAGGAGGGCTCCTCCATTTGTCCTTTCTGCTCTGAGCTGAGGAGTGTCAGGGCAGCCCTCCTGCATGAGCCCCGGGGAGGGGGGGGCGTATGGAAAGGTGAGGCAGGGTCCTGTGATAGGGTGGAGGGACACCTTCCCTGTTCCTGCAAAGTTCTCAATACTATGAGACAGAAAGGCTTAAAGAGACCCAAGTCTGACGGAGGAGACATAAGCTCAGCTCTTTGGGGGCCCAGAGTCTAGGGCAGCGACAAGAGAGAATTGTCCAAAGGGCGCGACCAAGGAAAGACACCAGCTGTGTGCTGGGCCCAGAGTGCTGGAGGAGGCAGGGAGGGCTTCCTGCGGGAGGCGGCCCTGGAGCTGGCACAAGAATGATCCTCTAGATGTTCCAAAAAAGATGCCAGTGGAATTGTGCGGGGGGAGAAGTGCCCAGGTACTTCTGTACCCGGTAAGGGCAGGGGGTGCAGGGTGAGGACCGGCGGAGACGCTGAGGCAGACACGCGAGGGAGAGCAGCCTGCCAGAAAGGGCCGTGGTGGGGAGCCTGGAAGGGGCCCTCAGGTCCCACGGGGAGGAGCCGCGGGGGGGCCAGAGCCGCCAGCCCTGCCCCTCCCCACCACCTGCTGAGGTGGTTAGGGCACCGCCCCACCTGGAGGAGCTCGGCAGGGGGCAGGGCAGCGGGCGGGGGCGGGGGCAGGGGAGGGGCGGCAGCGGCTGGTCACCCTCTCCAGCTCCAGCCCGGTGCAGGCTCGGGTACTCCGCTCCCGCCTGCCGCCTCGCCATGGCCTTGAAGGTAGACAGTAGGCCCGGGGGGCTCCCCGGCAGTGGCTGTGACCTGGGCCCCGCCCGAGAACACATGCAGGCCGTCACCCGGAACTACATCACCCACCCCCGAGTCAGTGAGTACAGCCCCCGCGGTGGGTGGGGGTGGGTGGGCTGCTGGTGGCTCTGCTTCTCAGGCTCAGGGCACCAGACGATCTGAGACAGAGGAAGATCTGGGGGGGGGGGGGTGTCTCCATCCAGCAGGTGACTCGATGGACCTCCTGGACAAGGGGCCCCTCTGTAGATGGAGGGATGGGGTCCCCACCCAGGCTAGCCCGCGTTCTCAGGATGGGGAAGCACATGCCACTGCGAGTGCCGTCAACGGGTCCGTGTCATCTGGGCCTTCTCGGGGCAGGTGTCTGTGTATAAGCCATGTGCCTGCGTCTGCTCGCGCTCCCACCCTCACCTGGGTGAGGATATGTGTAAATCTGTGTGGCAGCTTGCATGTGTGTATGACCAGAGTGAGGAAATGTGTGACAGTACCTGTGCACGCTTTTACACTCAGGGTGAGTGTGTGTGTCCACGCATGAGCGTGTGGCTCACGGGGAGAACGTGGGTACGTGGCCAGGGGATGTCGTGTGTCTGTGTCTGTACAGCTGGGCGACGGAGAGTGTGTGCCGTGGCCTTGGGTGCCGAGGGCTCGGAGGGGGCGATCCCGAGGTGCGCCGGTATCAAGGGCCCAGACACCAGTAGGGCTCTGAGGGCCGAGGGAGCACCCCCTCCTCTCTCCTTGCCAAGGTCACTCTCCAGTTCTCAGGCAGCCCAGCTCACTGGAGTAAACCGGCCTGTCCAGCCCCAGCCAGGCAGGGCCTGAGGCTCCTGACAGGGTGTGTGTGGGGAGAAGCTGGCCTAGCACCCCCCGCCCCCCCCCAGTTACCCAGGCCATAGGGGGAGGGGCCACCTGCCAGGGCAGCCCGAGAGCTGGGTCTGCATTGAATGGGGCTGGCATCCACCCAGAAGGGACCAAGTGCCCAGTGGGCAGGCCCGGGGTGTGGAGGCACCTCCGGAGGCTGGAGGCAGGCACCGGGTGGGGCACATTCCAGCAGAGAAGAAACTGAATGGGACCAGATCTACCCTGGAGGCCCTGCAGGCCCTGCAGGCCCTGCCCTGTGTAGGAATGGGGGAAGAGGGAAGCCCAGATCCTCCCCCTGGGGCCAAGCAGAGGTCAAGGCGGCCCAGAAATACCCAGCGACTGCCCCCCCCCTTGGGTCCCGAGCCCAGGCCCAGTGGGGACCTGAGCCCAGTTGTCCAGCCCAGCCCTGCAGGCTCCCCCCATCACCCCTGCAGCGTGCTGTCTGGGAGCCCTGCGGGGTGCAACCTCACCCCAGGGCCTCCTCCAAGCCAGTTCTCTCCAGCTGGCACCTTGTTTAGAGTCAACAAGCCCAGGTACAGGGAAACATCCAGGAGTCCTGACCCAGGCTGGGTCCCAGGGGTGGCAGCGTCCCTGTGTTTGCTTGTGTGTCACTTCACGTGGCCCCCACCCAGGCGAATGCGTCACAGCCCACAGCTGACCCACAGTCAAGCTGCGTGTGGGGGAGCCCCTGCACCCCGACTCTGCTCCCCACCTGCAGAAACATAAAACATTAAAGATGTTTCTGCACTGACGAAGGCTCCCGCCTCTGCTTGGGCTGCATACCAGGGTCCCCGCAGGGAACCGGCGCCCCAACCCCATGGAGAGCCTCCCCCCACCCAGGAGCTGACCCGATTCCTCAGGGTGCTTGGGCCCCTACAGCTTTCTCCGCTTCCCGCCCCCTTCCTCCTCTGGGGCCTGAGGGGTTTTGTCTGTGAGGGGTGAGGATGGGGGTGCAAACCCTAGCCGGCTGCCCTGTTTGCTAGAGGCAGGACCCCTGTAGCTCTCCCAGCTGCCTCCTACCCCAGGACTCTGGGGACACTACCTGCTTGTGAGCAGGAGAACTTTATGTAGAGACAGAAAGAGCGTAGGGCGAGAGCTGGGGGTCCAGAGGGACAGGGATGGGGCAGCTGGCTCCCAGCCCCAGAGCGATTCCAGCAGAAGGCCTCCTGGAGGAGGTGCCCTCAACAGGCCTGAGACCTTAAGGGTGATTTCACTGCAGAGGCAGAGGGAATGGGCCAGAAAGGAGGGAGCAGGGTACGGGGGAGGGAGGGGACGGGACTGAATCCCAGCAACATCCTCCCGAAAAGGAGGGACCCGTCTGCCACCCTCAGAGCTAGAGCTCTTTTCCCAGGGGAGGGGGTGGCATGGAGCTTTACGTGTTGTGTGGGGCAGAAGGTGCCAGGCTGGGGCAGGGGCAGGGGCAGCGGGGAGGGGACAGGGCCCAGGGCGAGCAAAGGTCGGGCCCACAGGCTGTCAGCCCAGCTAGAGAGGTAGAGCCGGTCAGGTCACCCAGAGGCTGGGGTGCCAAACCTCGGTTTCCCCCGCTGAGAGGCCGAGGAGGTCACACCTGGCAGGTCTTTGGCTGCTTCTCAGAAGCCTGGGCTTCCAGCCCCTGCCCTCCCTCCCCTAATCCCTCAGAGGGGATCGGGGAGGAGGTGCGGGACCTGCTGCCCCGGGCTTGCCCCCACCCGGCCTCCTCACGCCTGGGCGCCCGGCTGAGCCCTCTCCGGACGTTGCAGGTGTGGCCGGGCAGGCCCTAATTAGTGGGCTGCTGGAGCCCCCGCTGGGCCTTTGACGGGAAGCCGAGGGGAGTGGGGGCAGGGGGGGTCCACCTTCGGCCCCAAGTGCAACCCGAAATGTCAGCGAGGACAAAGGAGCAGGGGAGGGGCGGAGCGGAGGGAGGGAGGGTCTGGGAGTCTCCGGAAGGCAGAAGGCCTACGGACTACTGACCATCCGAGAGCCCCTCCAGGTCTTCGGGGCCAGCCCCCCCCCCCAGCGCTGTCCCGGCCTTGCACCTCACCAGGGTGGAAGGGCCGGGCTGAGGCTGCTGGGTGAGCTGGGGGCTTGCAGACCACACTGGGCACCCAGCCCAAGGGCCCTGGTGCCCTCCCGCCCCCCTCACCACGGCTCCCCCCACCTCAGGGGTCCTCCCCAAGGTAGTGCTGTGACGGTGAAATGGGGGGAGCCAGCTGTGAAGGAAGGGAGGAAGTTGAAAGATTGGACTCTGAGGCAGAATTAGAAAGAGTCCCCCAGGGCTTTGTGGACCTTGGGCCCTACCCACCCCCAGCTCCCTCTCCCCCGCGCCCCAGCCCACCGGCTCTGTGTCTTGCTTCTGCCTTCACAGCCCACGGCTGGCCTGGTATTTTCTCTATAGGGCCACCAGAGGCCAGCTCTTCCCAGGGCTGGATCTGCTGTGCCTGGTCCCTTGGGGTGGCCTAGAGAGACGCCCGCTTGGAGAGCTCAAGGAGAAGGTGGAAGGTGGGCAAAGGAAGTGAGCAATCAGCCCTACTTGCCAGAAGTTGGGCTGCAAAGGGCAGCAGCCGTGCAAGGACTGGGGCCCAGGGAGTGGTTTTTAAGATGGGAGATACCAGGGGCATCTGGGGGGCTCAGGAATGAGCACCTCCCCTTGGCTCTGGTCCCGCGGGTCCTGGGATGGAGGCACTGAGTAGCTCAGCAGGGGAGCCTGTTTCTCCCTCTCCTCCACCCCTGCTCTCTCTCTCAAATAAATAAAATCTTTTTTTTTTTTTAAAGAAACATAATGGAAAATACCAGAGCTTGCTTAGTGGGAGGGCCACCAGAGAGGGGGGGCGCTGGGCCATTGCCCTCAGGAGCAGCCATCTCTGGGGCCGGGCCCCGGGGCCAGGGAAGGTTGGCTGCGTCCCCCATGGAACCCGAGGAAGCTGAAGGAGTTCCTCTGCTCCGGGTGCAAGCCCCATAGAGCGGGTCTTCTTGTGCCCTCGTTCTTGAGTTTTCCCAGCAGTCCTAAGCTCAGAAGAGCCTTGCAAACATCCCCACGAGGATCACCCTGCCAGTTGGTCTTTCTAGCCCAAGTCCCAGTGAAAGGAGCGTAGATCAGACAAAAATGAGGAGTTTGAGCACGAAGGCCCAGACTGGGGAAGACGTGAGCAGGCGCGTTTAGTTTCTCTTGGAGAGGGGTGACTGGGCACCAGGCTTGCATGAGAGCAAGTGGCTGGGAGCCTCTGTGTCTGATGGGAAGGAAGCACAGGGCGGGAACCCAGCCCCAGCTCTGCCTCAAGCGCACTGGGGGACCCTGCGCTAGGTTTTTCACCTCCATTCTCCTCTCCTTTTGAAAAGAGGGTTAGACCACCCTCCCCTCTGATGACCTTCAATCTGTGAGTGACCCAGTGATCCTCAGGCGCTCTGGTCCTCCTGCCTCGTCAGGGTCCCTCATCCCAGCTGTCCTACTGGTGCTTCACAGGGACCGCAGGGAAGAGCTTTGTATTCCAGGGTCGTGGGGGGGCGGGGGGAGTCCCAGGGTCTCCCAGCTAGGCCCTAGCAGAACCAAGATAGGCTTCCTGTCGGCCAGTCAGTCCATGGCTTTCCTATTGGGGTCCCTAACACTGGGGTTCAGGGCTCCTCAACACTGAGCTTAGAGGCTCCCTGTAAGCTGAGCTCATTTCCCCATTTGTGGATCTCTCCAGCCACAGGGACTGGCACATTCTTCTTCCCCCTTCCTTGTCATTCTTTCCTTTCCAGGACCCTCCCTGGCAAGGCCTCAGGGCGAAGCAGGGACCCTGGCTGGTTTTCCTCACAGGTGTCTGCACCACCCACCACCTGGTGTGCACTCACATGCACACAGGTACATAGGCACCCGTGCACACAGGCCCACAGGTGCATGCATGCACCCAGGTGCACAACACACAGGCACACAGGCATACAGGTGCACACACACAGGTGCACAGGCGCACACACAGGCACACACACACACAGTTGTACACACACAGGCGCACACACAGGCACACAGGTGTACACACACACACAGGTGCACGCACGCACACAGGCAGTGCCCAGTCAGTGCCGGATGCTCCCAGACAGACACAGAGGGTAGTTCTCTTCTCATCTCTATCTGGGGGCCAGAAGCTTTTGGAAAATGTTGTGGGTCAGAGAGGAAGGAGTGGGTAAGATGGGGGCTGAGGCCAGAGGGGAAGCCGGCTCAAGATAAGAAAGACCTCTGCTGGCTGAGGGGGAGGAGAGGACTCCGAGGGGCCTCTGCCCTTGCCCTGGCCCTCCCCCCAGCCTCCTGCAGGTGTCCAAGCCAGCGGGGGGCCCTGCGGGCAGGGGCATGACCCTTACAGCAATGGTGGCTGGCCCTGTCACAGCTAATGACCCTGACAGCCCAGATTGGGAAAAGGGTGGGGGTGGTGCATCCAGGGACAGAAAGCAGAGGATGCCTGTGTGTGTGTGTGTGTGTGTGTGTGTGTGTGTGTGTGTGTGTGTGTTTCTGGGTGTCTGGGTATGACACCCTCACCGGCCTGCACTCCTCTCCAGCCTACAGGACTGTGTGCAGCGTCAATGGGCCCCTGGTGGTGCTGGACCAGGTCAAGGTAAGACTCTTCCACCTCTTGCCAGGCCCCAAGGCCAAATCCCAGGACTCTCTAGCCGGCCCTGTAGGATTTCTTCTAAATTGCCCTGTCCCTGGCTGTCCCCCATGGGCCCACCTGTCCCTTCTAATTCCCTGTCACCCCTCCCCACCCTCTTCCCCCCTAGCTGTCTCCTCAGCCACCCCCTTCCCCTTCCCGCCTTTTCAGTGTCCACCTCGCCCCCTCTGGGCCTTCAGGGACCCACACCTACTGCCCAGGATTGGGGGATTTGGGCGATTGTGCCTCTTTCCTCATCAGTAGAATGGTTGTATTGAGCTTGTTCACAAGCTGGACTCCTCCATCTGCTTCTTTTAAGAGGAAGAGAAGGCCGAAGAACAATGCCACCTAGCTCTTCTCCCCAGCTCAAGGTTCTCAGAGGCTTTCGGAGTATCTCAGCCTGGGAGCCAGCAGCGTGGGTGGTTCACAGAAAGAAGTGGGAAGTGGGCTCCCGTGTGTCCCCCGGGGAACTGCAGGGCCCCGGCACAGACTGGTAGCATTTTCAGTTTGGGGTTGGGGATTCTTAAGGCATAAGGGGCCCTGCAAAGGTACTAGATCACTCTGCTGTCCCTCTTCCACCAAACAGTTCCACCCGTCAGGCTCCCACCCCACACAGGAAAACTGGTGCTACCTTTGAGTCATCCCTTCCTGGCCCCAGTCTATTAGTGCCAACGATCCATCTGTCAGCAGTCGCCCACCCCACTGCTCCCTGATTATGGCCATGGCCTCTAGGCCCCCCGCCGGGCGCCCCCTGCAACCTGACCCGTTCACTTCCCTGCTTCAGACTCACCCAGTACGCCCAGCGTCTTCACTCAGGCTCTACATCCCACAGGTTCCTGCCTACCTTCCCATTCTCCCCTCCCTCCTTGGAAGTCCACCCTGTCCCTGCATGGAGCTGCCATTTGCTGTCTTTGCTCCTATTTTCCCTCTGCCTCTCCTACTACCTTTCCCCCATGCCTTCCTCTGACTCATCCCCAGGGCTAGCTGAGAGGTCACTTCTAGAAGTTTCACCCAGGCCCCTGGGCCATGAGCCTGTCCCTCCTCTCCCTCTTCTGTGCTGCCCCGTTGGCAGCTCCTTTAAGCCATTTGGCCACATGTCCCCTCGCTGTAATATCCCTCCTATTACTCACTGCTCCTGAGTACTCATACCGCACAGCCCCACACCGCACTTTAACTGAACACCCAGTCCATTGTGGGTACTCAGTTAGTCAAAGGAAGGGTGAGTAAATGAATGAGATGCATGAATGAATAAATGTCAGAATGACTAAATCTGACCCTCTCATTCCTGGAAACCAGATCCTGAGTTCATCCCATTTGACCCACTAGCGTTGGGGGGACCCTGGGAGGAAGTGTGATGGAGTGTTTACGCGGGTATGCACAGGTGTCACGCACGCAGCCTGACTCCGACTCCTCCACCCCATAGTTCCTACCAGCTACCCGTCAGTTGGAGATGGGCTGCGTCAGTGCTGCCTGAGAACTTGTTACAGATACAGATCCAGGGGCTCCCACCCAAGACCAACAGAATCAGAAACTTTGGGGGGGGGGATGCAGAGAAGCCAGTCTTTATTTTTTTTCTTCTATTTTATTTTTTTTTGTAAATTTATTTTTTATTGGTGTTCAATTTGCCAACACACAGAATAACACCCAGTGCTCATCCCATCAAGTGCCCCCCTCAGTGCCCGTCACCCAATCACCCCCACCCCCCGCCCTCCTCCCCTTCCACCACCCCTAGTTCGTTTCCCAGAGTTAGGAGTCTCTCATGTCCTGTCTCCCTTTCTGATATTTCCCACTCATGTTTTCTCCTTTCCCCTTTATTCCCTTTCACTATTTTTTATATTCCCCAAATGAATGAGACCATATAATGTTTGTCCTTCTCTGATTGAGAAGTCAGTCTTTACAAGCCCTCCAGGTGACGTGATGCTCCCTGAAGTTTGAGAAGCATCAATCCAGGCGTGCAAATCCGAGTGTCCTCATCTAGTAAATGACAGGAGCGTTGTGGTGAGGATCAAATCAGATAAATGTATTTTTATTTTTCCTCCTTGAGAACAGCTAGCACTAGCTCTGCCTGGAATGCAGAAGTGCTAACGTGCCTGAGGGAACAGTTGCTGCCACCTGCTGCCCCGGCTGGGGTTTGGAGGCTCAGTACCTTTCCAGACATCCACTCTCCCAACTATTAAATGGGGCTAGACGACGAGGAAACAAGCCAGACCCCCAGACCTACGGAGCCGCCGTGCTTAGTGCTTAGTAGTAGATGCGTCTGTCACTTTCTAAGAGCGGGAAGAATGACAGGGTGTTGGAGAACCCCAGAGAACCCTGGACTTGCAGAAGGAAGGAAAAGCAGCAGTGGTGTGTAGTCTCCTAAGTTCAGGAGGTGGAGAAGACAGACCCGTCCGGCCCCACAACCCCTGCCCTCCTCCTGGGTTACTTGGGCAAGATGCCACAGTTCCCCTTCTCCAGCGCCACCTCCTGCCCAAATCGAATCACACCCGCAATTATGCTTCCGGCTTCCCTCCTCCTCAAATGGAAAAATTTGGGGGGGAAGAATTTTATGTTGATTGAAAGTCCTTAGCCCGGGGAATAAGGGCCTCGAAATTGTAGCAAACCTCTGATACTGTGTATCCATGTTCCTGCTCTTTTTTCTAGAGGTAATTTCCATGGTTTCCTCTGATTTTTGGAGATCTGGGTGTAGACTGTAAAAGGCTAAACCCCTGAGTGTAGACTGTAAAAATGACCCCTCGAGACTATTAAACTTCCACACTCTCAGCCCTGATCTCACAGTCACACCCAGTTTGTGCAAGCATTACAGAGGAGTCCCGTTAGCTGGCAGCCACCTGCCTGGGGTGCTTAGGGGCTCACTAGGGCAGTGGTGTTTGAACTTGAGCACGCGGGAGGATCCCCCGAAGGATTCTTGGGTCCCCACCCAAAGTTCTGATTCAGGACAAGTTCCCAGGTGCTGCGGCTGCGCTGGGGACCACATCTGCCAACTGCTGTAGTCTGAGGTAGACCGGTCCTTGCTGAGGCTTGGAGAAAGCGCTTGGTTCCCAGCGTCTGTGGCTGCTTCCAAACTTTTAAAGGAAAAAAGCTTCAGCCCTGAAGACGATTTCCAAAGAGGGGTTCCCAAACCGCCCTGGGCATCGTCAGGAGGGGAGGACTCGGAGGGGAGGCCGGCGCTTCCTCCAACCAGCCCTGCGGGGCTTGCAGAGAAGTCCCAGCCGTCGGAGCGCGGTGTGGGCTGCAGCTCCCGTCTGCCTGACCCCAGGCTGGCTGCGGACTCGGCTGGCCCCCAGCAGAGGCGGTGGGTGGCACAACCCCCCCCCCCCGCAGTCCTCCTAGAGCCCAAGGGTGGGCGTTGGGAGAACCAGGCTCCGAACGGGCTCCTCGACGTCAGGCGCAGGGCCGCGGCCTGGGATTCCAGCCTCCGTCCCTCTGCACTGCGCGTTCCGGCGTGAGCGCCCCCGCCCCATAACCCGGGTACCCGGGTGCACACGCGCAGGGCAGGGCCGGGTACTGTCCTCCGAGGGGCCCCAATACCGCTCCACGGGGGGGGGGCAGGCCTCACAGCCCCCCCCCCCCCGCACCTGGCTGAAAGCTGCGCCGCGCACTCGCCTTCCTCCCGCCGCGGCCGCCTCCGCTCCCTCCCCTCCTCCGCCCTCTGTCCTGCGCGGCTGTCGCGGCCTTCTGCCACCCGGTCCTCGCCGGCCCCCGCCGCCCGCCTTCTGTGGGGCCCCCGCCGCCCGCCTTCTGCGGGGCCCCCTCTGCCCGCCCGCCTTCTGCAGGGCCGCAGCCCGCCTTCTGCAGGGCCGCAGCCCGCCTTCTGTGGGGCCCCTCCGCCGCCCCGCCTTCTGCGGGGCCCCTCTGCCTGCCGCCCGCCTTCTGCAGGGCCGCAGCCCGCCTTCTGCAGGGCCGCAGCCCGCCTTCTGTGGGGCCCCTCCGCCGCCCGCCTTCTGCTGGGCCGCAGCCCGCCTTCTGCAGAGCTGCCGCCGCCTTCTGCGGGCCCCGCCCCGGCCTGCGCTCCGCCGCGCGCTTCCCGGGTTCCCGGCGCCCAGGCCCCGAGGCCAGGCTCCTGAGGCCGCGCAGCCCTCGCTCCCGGGCGCCCTCTCGTGGTCGGCGAGCCCCGCCGCGCGGTCCGCACCCCTGGCCGAGCCCTGCGCCCCAGGCGACCCCGCTGCGGGGGGGCGGGGGGTGCGGGGAGCGAGGAGGTGCGCTCCTGGCGTCCTCGGCGCGGGGCGTCCCCGTGGGCCCTGCAGGGTGCCCGGGGTGCCGGGGTGCGCCCCGCCCCGCCCCGCCCCGCCCCGCCGGGAGCTCGAGCCGCCCCCGCCGCCCAGGCCTCTAAGGTCACTCTTAGGCAGAGGCGGGATTTGATGGAGAACTTGGACATCCCACGTTTTTATTACGTTTTAATCACCAAAAAATTAAAAGCTTGCTCCTTGGAACGAGTGAAACAAGAAAAGGCGCGCGCGTGAGCGTCCCTGACGTCCTTGTCCCCGGCCTCGCGCCCAGCCAGGGGCTGCGGCCTCCTGGAGCCTGGGGGCCTGCGTGTCCCTCGGGGCTCACGATGCACGGACGCTCCGCGGGCTTCCAGGCTTTGCTAAAATACCCCTTTGCGGCTGGGCCCCTCGCTGCGGGAAGGTGGATCCCCCGAATGAAGTTGCAGGTTCAAAACCTGCAGCCTGGAAGAGGCACTGAGGTGGGCCCAGCCCGGCAGCCCGCGGCAGCCTGCGTGGGGACCACGACCCAGCACCCCCGCGGGCCTGAGCATCTCTCCCGGTGATGAAAACTGTCCTGCCCCCGCTTCTCCTTATATTTCCGTACCTTCTTATCGGTTTGGATTTCACTTTCTGCAGCGTGACATCTTCCTACACCTTGAGGTGCACACTTTGAGCTGTGGGAGCTCTTTTTTTTTAATTTTTATTTATTTATCCATGATGGTCACACACAGAGAGAGAGAGAGGCAGAGACACAGGCGG